CAAGATGACCCACCAACTCTGTTTAATCTAAAAAAGAGGGGGAAAGACTTAAAGCTCCTAATCCAAGCTGTCTTTAAAAAAAGCCTAGGGAGATTCTCAGTCATAGTTATCTCAATACATGAGCACACAATAGATACAAATTTAAGGTAAACCGCTCCAAACTCGATTGCAGAAAATACGACTTCAGTAACAGAGTGGTCAATGCCTGGAATGCACTATCTGACTCTGTTGTAACATCCTCAAACCCCCATAACTTTAGGTTTACACTGTCTACTGTTGACCTCACCCCATTCCTAAGAGGTCTGTAAGGGGCATGCATAAGAGCACCAACATGCCTACCGTCCCTGTCCTTTTTATTTGTATCCATTTCATGTATTCAAAATCATGTTTATACTTATATATGTTATCTAATGCATGCTTGACAAAATAAATAAAATAAATAAATAAAACCGTGCCTTTTCAAAAAGGCAACTGGACTCTTTTTTTTCCCCCTTGAGGAAGAAGCAAAAAAGATTCATCCATAAAATAAGAAAGTACAATTGATTCTTACACTCAGGGCAAAATTCCAGCATCAGGATTTCTTAACCAAACAATTCCATCTATGCAAACTCAAAAAAGAATAATAAAAAAATCTTCCTGAAATCCCCAAACAAAATATCTTTTTTTTTCAACATGGTCTGAAGGTTTCCAAATTCAGTCACAGTAAAGAATTATGGCTTTTTGTGCTTCTTTAATTTAATGTCCCAGTTGGTAAATTGTTATATAATTTTGTGCTCTTTAAAATTATAGCTTGTCCAAAGCCTAAAACCAAAACCTAAATGGTTATTATCATATTGTGGAAATTACAGAGTTTCTTTACTTGCCACTTACAAGTTTATACAACAAATCAAAACCTAATTTAGTAAGCTTGACATTTAATTTATTTATCAATTGATTTGTTTAATGCTGAAGCCTGAGCATTATGCAAAAATATGAAATGTAAAAAGCCCATTTTTGTGTATCTAAAGAAGTGCATTAATATTGAAGCCATAATTAAAATATTAGTCTTTTAAGATATAAAATGCATGTTGCTTTTGGAGAGATACATGGCAACACATTCTGGGTTTTTCTTTAATTAGGACAAAAATATGAGTGCATTATAGTTATCATATTAAATTCTAATAGTTAATTCTAATGACTAATGACTGATCCATACTGTAAGGTTTTTGAGTATATAAACTCTGTTATACAATAGTAGCTCCACTTTTTTCCCTTCCAACATAACAGAATATTTTAATTGGGCCAAGATCGATTCACAAATTTATTAACATATTAACAATATTTGATGGTAGAATATATTAAGTGAAGTTTCTTTTAGCACAAATATTGTTTATGCCTTTAAGCATGAGTAAAATGATTATATGATATCCTAATCATATCCTGTTTCCTGAGTTATGGTTCTGTCCTACTTCATTAGTTTATTTTATATACTTAGTCAAAGTTATAAAAAAGTTAATCGGATGCTGAAGGAAATGCTGTTAACCACCACAAACCTGAAAATTAAACTTAATGAATTTTGCTTTCAACATCTATACNCTCATTTGCATGACATCTACATAGCTTAGAAAAGAAACTAGCTTCTGGAAAGGGGAAAAAAAACTTCAAGAAAGAAGGAAACTACAGTTATTTTATATCTTCCTATTGTGGCATGAAACAACCACCAAAACTCGTAATCACTAGGCCAATTGGATCTAATGGCTAATGCACCAGCCTAGAAACCAGGAAACTGAGTTCTAGTTTCAATCTTAGGCATGAAAGCCAGATGGGTGATTTTGGGTCAATCACTTTCTTTCAGCCCAACCCCCCACCTTATGGGGTTGTTGTTGTTGTGAGGAAAATATGAAGGGGAATGAATATTAGGTACACTTGTGGCCTTGAGTTATTTATAAAGGTAATAAGGGCAGGAAATAAAAAAAACATTTTTTTAAAAAAAGATATGTGCTAACATAAATAGTAAAGCAGCAACAAATCATTTCCATTTTAATTTATGGGGCAGTGCTAACCATTTCAGGGAAAAGCAAATGTGGATAATTGTTAACAGCCACCATAGTTCCGTCCGGTTCATTGCTCATTGTTCATTGCTCTTTCACCCTCAGTACCCATTTCACCCTGCTGGTACTTCTTACAGATCAAGACATCAACTATTGTTTGGCATCAAACATAAAAATACTGATGGAACTCAGATTAGGAGCAAAATACATCTTTGCCTGCGGATGATCCTATGTTTGATGTTTCTTATTTCTACTTTTAAAAGACCTCAGGCCATAGAACTGGAAAGACTTCTCCAGATACTCTTACTGTTTCTCAAAGCAGGCCATCCTAGGTCAAAGTATATTCAAAGAGAGAGCTAAACATCACTGTATCTTTTCTACACCCCACCCAAAATTGTAATTAAATTGTATAGATTGCTTCAGCTTCCCTGCCTTATTACTTCTGGTATGCAATTCCACAAGGGGAAGATTAATACCGAGACAAGTACTCATATAATCTCTAAAATGCTCATTTATTTGATTTTATGTTTACCCTGACTTTGCACCAATAAATGACATTGAAGACAGCCATTGATTAAACACTGAGTCATGATTTCCTATTAGATATGCATATCTAATAGGATATCTGCATATGGCAGACAAAAGGCAGCTGAAATAAATCATTAGTTATTGTCACTGGAAAGATTGAAATCATAAAAATAAATAAAACACCTTACATACATGTACTTTCCTAAATTAAGGTAAGTTTACCTTCCCAAACTTGATTTCAATGCAGTTTTCTTTAAATTTCTCCTGTAAAGTCTCTGCTAGCTGACAGAGCAAAGCACCATTATCCAATTTCTCCATGAAGGTTTCAGCTGTTATTTCTTTTCCTGAAAAAAGATACAAAAGGAATACCAATCAGCACCAGTTTTGTGGATTGTTCATTGTGTGGAAAAACATGATTGCACTGTGGATTTTGTTTGCATCAAATTGTGATTGCTCCCTGCTGAAGAAATATATCTCACATTATAAATCACATACTCAATTGTACTTTTAAAAAAAAGATGGCAGAACCTTTATTAAAGGAAAGTTATAGTCAATGAAGTCAAAACATATTTTATTTCTTGATTACTAATCTGTATTTTCCCCTGCAGCAGTTAATGGTAACACTGAAGAGCATTGTTCTAAAGCTTAAAACACATGTAGCCAATGTAGTAGCTTCACATACTGAGACATTTTTTTTTATAAATGCAGATGATTGCAATGCCAGATTGGCTGAAAAGATATGTTTCCATAATCTAAATTTAGCGGGTTTTCCTTTAGGATTTGGGGAGGATGACATTACACTAGAGCACCAGTCAAAAGACATATGATTTAACTTGATGAGAAGGCGCTGGAAGCAACAGCCAATGGATTGGATGTCATTTACCTTAATGAGCTGGGGGGAATGAGGATGGTGGTAGTATTTGATATTTTTTGGAGCAGAAAAAGAATACTTTGCTTATTCAGATTTAATAAATATTATAGTTCTATTTAATCTTCACAGTTATAGTTTCCTACCCACTGGAGATCTGGCTGGCTTCCATTCCGATAGCATTCAGAGGGCCTTGAAAGGACCTGCTGTTTTTCTAGAACTGGGCATGGGTAGTCGAAGCCCCTTGCTGGATATTTGTTATATCTGTTCTTTGTGTTGCTAGCAGAAATGATCACTTTTTTCTGCTTTAGTTTTTATCTTCCTTTACTTTTCTAATTTATCTTCTATTTTTATTTGTTTGTATATATTGTGAGATAACCGAACACATCTTGGAATCACCACCAAATTGAATTTTTATTGATTGATTTATTACATTGGTAAACTCCACCTAATAATGCTAATTACACCACTTGAATACCTTTGGCATTGATAAAGTTACAATCAGTAACTGCAAAAGGTAGGAAGAATGCATATAGAAGAAGTACAGAAAAGTAAATATGAC